ACTATTAAATAAAAAAAAAAAAAAAAAGCAGAATCCAAGAACTTTGGCTTAGCTTTCAGGGCAGTCTCAGACCTCCTGTAGATGGCCCTCCCACAGACCATCCCCATCAACACAGCCAAGCCACCTCAAGCCACTGTCACCTTTACTCAATGTCTAAGACAAGGTAACATCTTCAATAATAAGTAGATATGGGAAACGGCTAAGCAGTAGCCAGAGGAGTAGTGTGAAAAGGGGACACAGGGCAGTAGGGAAAGAATAGGGGAGTTAGAAATAGCTCAGGTTCTATAGGCAAGGAGCCTCCATTCTGTGGGTTTTAATCTTCTCATTCATAAAATATGAGAGCTGAATGAATGGAGAACTTTCCCAACTTTTTAAAGCAGCAGACAATTTTAGTTCATAATCTGTGGAATCCCAATATAGTAGTCCCCGCTTCTCTGGATGGGATACATGCTAAGACACTGTATGAATACTTAAAATTGCTGATAGTACCAGAAACAGCAGGAACCATCAAGCCACACATATCTACTATGCATTTTGTTTTGTTTTGTTGTTTTGTTTTTTGTTTTTGTTTTTGTTTTTCTTTGCAGTACTGGTGATCAAACCAAGGCCTTTCCATTGGATTACATGCCCAGCTCTAACTCACTTTTTATTTTTGAGATAGGGTCTTGCTAAGTCACTAAGTTGCCCAGAGTGGGCTCAAACTTGCCATCCTCTGGCTCAGCCTGCCAGAGTACTGGGTTGCAGGCACCTGCAACCATCTTGCTTTTTCCTATTCACAGATGCCTATCATGAAATTTTATTTACAAACTAGATACAAGAAGTCTGGGGATTTAGCTCAGTGGCACCATGTCTGTCTTGCAAGCAAAAGGTTGTGAGTTCTATCCCTGGTACCAAAAAAAAAAAAAAAGAACTGTTTATTTCTGGTATTTTCCATTTAATATTCTCAAAGTGTGGTTTACTAAAGACAACTGAAACTGTGGAAAGTCAAACCATGGGTAAGAGGGTACTACTGTATATTTAAAAAAATAAAACTAGCAGGGTATAGTGATGTACACTTATAATCTCAGCACTCTGGAAGGCTGAGGCAGAAGCCATCATAAAGTCAAGCCCCACCCAGGCAACTCAGAAACTTAGCAAGACCCTGGTTTTTTTTAAAAAAGAAAAGTCTGGAGATGTAACTCATTGGAAGCTTCTTTCTGAGTTCAATTCGCAGTCTCCATCCCCTCAGAAAAAGGTGTAAAACTGGAGTATGTCGAAGCCAAGTGTGAAAGGCCTAGAACTCCACTGTGTCTACTTTCCTTCTCTCTACCTCCTGATCCCAAAGCTGTTCCGTGAAAAACCTCTCAAGATTCTATAGCTCCATTAAGTGATTGAAAAACCACCATGCTATCTGGGGAAGAGAATGGCAGAGTGATAATAATTACTATTTATCATGCACTTACTCTGTAGGAAGTATTATATTCTGTATGTTATCTTATTGGCATCTCACAATTTTCTTTCAGCCAGCACTGGGGTTAAACCTAGGGCGGTGTGCATGCTAGTCAAGTGCTCTACCACTGAGCTATATCCCCAGACCTTCACAACCATTTTTAAAAGTATCTCATTGTTCCCTTTTATAGATGAAGAAACCCCTGGCTCAAGGAAGGCTCCCTAACTTTCCCAAAGCCACTTGAGAAATGAGTTGGAAAAATCAGGATCTAAATCTGAGTAGGGATTAACCTCTACATTGCATCCCTTCCAGCTCCAAATCCCATAATCCTAAAAGCGGGACGCAAGAAGAAAAAGTAAAGTAGGGGTATGGAAGGAAGAGGGCAAGGGAAACCAGAGAAACAGTGGAATTACTCAACTTGGCCTTGAGGAGCTGAGAGGAGGGATTAAGAATGATAGGGGGCTAGAAGGACAAAAGGAAAGAAGCAAAGCAGGAGGGGGGAGGAAGAGATGGGGAGGCAGGAGAGAGCCTTGCTCCCCATTTCGGAGGTGGGGGGTTGCCAGTGGGGCTGGGCAAGTCAACTGTTTCCCAGGGGTCTCTCTCAGATTACTTTTCACAATGTCCCTCTCCCAGAGACAAGGGTGAAGATGGGATGGAAACTCCCTGGATCTCCCCTAGCCCAGGAATCCCAAGATCTCCTGTTGTACTTTGAGCCTCTCACCTCTCCCAGGGCTCCCTAAGGGGTGGAAATCAAAGGCCCCTTATCTAGACATTCCCACCTCAAGACCTTCTTGCTCCTCTCCCCAGTCTCTACTTCCCTGAACTCTTCTCCCCCAGGCAGAAGCCTTCCGCTTCCTTCTCAGGGTCCTCAAGCAGGTCTTTCTCTAACCCTCCTCTGCTGCTTGCTGTTCCAGGTCGGGCACCTTTTGGAGCTCCATTTAATCTGTATTTCAAATTAAGGGAGTACTTCATTCCTCCCTTCTCCTTTTCTCCCATCTCCAGGATGATCAGATTCCAGATCCTTGACCCCCAACTCTACCCTGGGGTGGGGAGACACAGACAGCCCCATTTCCTCTGCATTGCCTTGTTGAGTGAACAGCTTCCTGGCATGGCCTAGCTTCAAATTTCCAACTCTCCTCTCTCTCTCCAGACACCAAGAGGCCACATTTCTCCCTACTCCCACTCTATAACAAGCTGGGTTGATTAATCTGGCCAGGACAAGGGGACCTTTTTCTTTCAGACCCCTGGAGAGGAGCAAGGAGGGAAGAGGCCAAGGTGCGAGGGGGCGGGGCCAGAATTCTTAAACCCGGGAGGGAGGGGAAGCCCAAGTCCAAGATCTCATTCACCGGCTTGGTGGCCTAAACCCCATCACCTCTACCCCTATAGTCCCGACTTCTTTGCCTGTGGGACCGCAGGCTCAAAAGTAGAAAAAACTTGTCTGAGTTGCCCAATGTGTGAATGTGGCATTGGTGGCAGGATTAAGGAGCCAGGTCAGCATGGGGAGGGTTAATCCCACGCAGCCCAGACGCCTGCCCGCTGGGAAATCTCAGCTTCTATGGCAGCCAAGCATGCAGCAGTTTTGAGGGGGAAATTCCCCCTCCTCTGGGGCACCATGAGGTCTACTAGGGCTTGCTCGTCCCCCTCCCCTCAGGCCACACCCTTGAACAGGAACTTTTAGCGGGAGGCTGAAAGGGAGTCTGACAAGGGCCCACTGCCCCCTGGCATTAACCGGTCTAAGGAGGGGCAGCCACTCCCCCAAACGCAGAGGGACCCTCCCTCCCATCCTGTCCCCAACTTCCCTCGCCCTGGAGGTGGGAGGTGGAGAAAGTGACCCACAGTGGAGGGGAGTGCGGAGGACTGTACCCTCTCCAAATTCCTCTAAGGGTGGGAAAATGCCCAAACAAACAAAACCCTGTGCCCCAGCTATCAACACTAGCTGAAATAACTCTAGAGAACCATCCGCCCTGCCCAGGGCCCAGGGAGAACCCCGGAGGTCCCGCTAACCCATCCCCCACACGCAGCCAGCTCCCCTCCCCCGCCCCCCCATCCCCTCACCTCAGCACCCCTCAGCGGTCTTCTCCCTTTCTCGGCGTCCACTGCCTGGCTCTGTCCAGTGAGTTCAGGGCTGGCCTGCTAGCACTCCCCTCTACCACCACCACCACCAAAAAGCAAAACAAACAAACAAATAAACAAACCACTACACACACACACTCACACACACAATCCTTTCCCGGCCTTCCTCTCCAGTGCAAGCAGTGGCTGCCCAGCCTGCTTGTTTCCGGCTTCTCTTCTACCCAGGTCCCTCCCTGGAGCTCTGACGACACAGAGAAGAGAAAGTGGGCTGGAGGAGGAAGAGGAAGAAAGTGGGGTGAACATGTGTGCCTCTTGCACTGGGTGGGGAATCACGTTGTAGAGGGGGTTGCAGGGCTGGGGCTCCCAGCCTTAAAGCCAGGATGGAAGAGAAGATGACCCCCACTTACTGTATCCCCCTCGATAACAATCAACTTTTCCTCACTTAGTATCAAGCACAGACATGCCACCCCAAACGACCTGGCTTCCACACTAAAACTTTCTCAGGGGTTTGGGGCCACCAGGGACAGGGCATTCTGAGGCCTCTGGAAAAGCAAATCCCTGTAGACTCTGCGCTCCCTCCAGTGGAGGACCCTGACAAGCACCCGCGGAGTTCGAGGCTGCCTGAATTCCTAAATTCGCCTTCCTTCAAGGCGGAACGGAACGCCTTAGAGGTCGCGTGACTGCCGTGACAGCCGCGGGGAGAAGATGGGGGAGGGGAGCCCTCAGCTCAGAATTCTGGAAGCCTCCAAGGGTCCTGGACCGAAAACCATCTTTGCCCGCTCCTCACAGGGTGCCACCCCCCCCAGACCCCAGTGGTAGCCAGCACCAGTAGGAGTGCTGCCCGCCGTTCTCCAAGGGACAAGTTTGAATACGAATCTGCTGCACAGCCTTGGCGAAGTTCCTACAGTATCTGGGGTAAATATTGAGACACACCCAGAGACAAACACAAACACGACTTCCCCAGCTACAAAACACGCACACACACACACACACACACACACACACACACGACTTGCTGAGTCACCATCCTAACTAGTGGAGTGTTCCGCATGCAGTTTGGGCTACGGTAGGAGTTGGAGAAAAGCCAGGGACCCCGGGAGGTTTGGAATCCCCCAACACAGTCCAGCGAGTGGAAAGGGCGGTGTTGGAGGAGGCGGCGGGAGTTTTCTCCCCTCCTTTCTCCCTCCGGAGCTAGTTGAAGGGCCAAAACTAGGTCTGTGCTGCCCCCTGGTGTCTGAATTTATTTCTCCCGTCCCATCCACGTTAACCCGTTAACCTCAGTGCGGGAGTTCCCTAGTGCAGGTCCAACTAGTCAGCAGGGGATAGTAACCGCAGCAGAGTACAGCAGGTAAGATCTTGCACTCGGGACACGGGCTGCTTAGGTTCAAATCCTGTCAACGCTGCTAACTACACAAGCCTAGGCAGTTTGCTCTTTGTGGTTCCGTTTCATCATCTGTAAAATGGGGCAAATAAGTTGATAAGGTTGTGAGAACGAAACGAGATGAGAAATGTGGAAGCTTAGAACAGTGCCTGATATATAGTGAACAAAAGGCGCTATTGTTTTTGTTTTCTTTTGTTTTTTGGTACAGGGGATCGAACCAGTAGTGGGTCCTGGGGACCATGTGCTTGCCAGGTAGGCACACTCAGCAGAACCACTGAGCTGGGGCAAATAAGTTGATAAGGTTGTGAGAACGAAACGAGATGAGAAATGTGGAAGCTTAGAACAGTGCCTGATATATAGTGAACAAAAGGCGCTATTGTTTTTGTTTTCTTTTGTTTTTTGGTACAGGGGATCGAACCAGTAGTGGGTCCTGGGGACCATGTGCTTGCCAGGTAGGCACACTCAGCAGAACCACTGAGCTAAATCCTCTGCCCCATAAGACACTATTCTTATGGTCCAGAGTAAGCCAGCTGTGAGGAGAGCAGACAGACTCCATCCCACTTAGGGGATCCCTGGATTTTGGGGGTGATACGAATGCCACAAAGTCAGAACCTAGCAGAGGTGTGTGTATTTGATGGGTTTATTGTGTCTCCAAAGCAGTGAAAGGAAGAAGATGAAGAGCAGGGGGTGGACATGACAAGCAAAAACTTTGTCAAAGAGCTTGTTCAGCAAGTAATGCTCAAATGGAGGTGAGAGCACTTGTGTGCTCGGGGCACACAGCCTGTATTTGTGCATCCAGGTGACCACTCTACCTGCAGGCATCCACAGACCATAGCTGAAACCAGGCTTTGCCATCTGAGGGTCTCAGGATGTCCAGGTCCCTAAAGATGAATAGGAAGAAAGGGAGCCTAAGGGAAATCCCTGACTTTGGTTCCTTTTAGACAGTAAAAGATGAGGTGCAAGTACTGGTAGCAAGATAATATTTATTGTATTCCTTTCTAACTGATTACACCATTTGGGACACTAATATCACTTATAGGCAAATCCAGCATTTAGAGGCAAATCTGGCTTAGGTCTGACTCCACCTTAGAGCTTTGTGACTGTAAATTTTATATCTATTTCCCAATAGGATCTGGGCGACAGTGAGGAGTCTAAGGGCACAAAACTGAAGAACGCACTCTTCAGATTGTGCAATTACAGACCTTCAAACAACACCCCACCTAAAGTGGGAACCTTGTTGCCTCATCTCCTCTGGTCCCTGCCATCCCTCCAGTGGCTGTAAAAATTATATGAGAGAGCCAGGCATGGCAGCACATGCCTATAATCCCAGCAATTATGGGAGGTGGAGGCAAGAGGATCTTAAATTTGAGCCCAGCCTGGGCAACTTAGTGACTTAGCAAGATTCCAAGTCAAAATAAAAAAGTAGCTGCAGACGTAGTTCAGTAATTTAGCCTTGGGTTCAATCCATAGTACCACTACCACCACTACCCCCCCAAAAAAGAGAAACATATTACATGAAAACATAAGAAAAACAGCACTTTGTGATGTGTGAACTACAACCCAATAGTGAGTCATAAAACTAATTTGGTGAGTATATTAGTTTGCTAGGGCTGCTGTAACAAAATACCACAAACTGGGTGACTTAAACAATAGGAGATTGTCTCATGGTCCTGGAGGCTCTGAAGCCCTTCTGAGGGCTGTGAAGGAAGAGTCTATCCCAGGCTTCTCTCCTTGGCTTGTAGACTGTCACTTTCGTGTTCATATGGTGTTCTCTGTATGCCAGTCTGCTGCCAGGCTTCCTTATTCTATGGGGGTACCCATAATGTTGAATCAGGACACATACCTAGTGACCTCATTTTAACTTTATTACCTCTCAAAATAAGATCACGTTCTGAGGTGTTGGGAGTTAGGACATCAATACATGACGGGGGGAGTGTATCAGGGATCGAACTCAAGACCTTGTGCTTGCAAGGCAGGTGGGGGCACCACTGAGCTAACTCCCCAGCCCCCAATATACGAATTTTTGAGGGACACAGTTCAGCCCATAGCAGTGTCTTGACAATCACTATGACAAAATGAAATAGAAGAGAAAATATCAGAAGGCATCAAAGAAGGATAAATATCATTTAGTGAATCTTTTTGTTTTCTCTATATCTCTGAATTCTAGGTCATCATGTAAAACTACTTTTTAGATCAAGCTTTGTTCCAAAAACAAAGCAACATTTGGATGCTGGTGGCCATCTTGGCCATCTAATGTCACTGTGCATCACTTTTTTTTTTTTTTTTTTTTTTTTTTGATACTGGGAATGAAACTCAGGACCTCACACTTTCAAGGCAGGCGAGGTGCCACTACACTAAATCCCCATCCCAGCATCACTTTTAATTACTTTATGGTGCATCTTTCTTCCTCAGCAAAAAGGCAAATGCATGGAGTATGGGGAGCATCATACTGCTGTGCAGCAGCTAAAAAAGACAACCTATACCCCTGCTAATAAATGCACGAAGGCTAGCTGTGGTGTTGAACGTCTGTCCTCAGATACTTACACCTGAGAACTGAAGTTAGGCTATTTAGCAGACAGGGATACTATAGGATAATCAGGACTCTTATGTGCTTGGGAACACACAGGAGGGGTATCTTAACTAAGTAGGGCATAGGTGAGATCAGGGAAGACTTCCTGGAGGAGATGATGCCTGAACTAGATCTTGAAGGAAGAATAGGAGTTATTCAAGCACAGAACAGGACCAGGGATTTAGCTGGGTGGCACCATGCCTGCCTCGCAAGCACAAGGTCCTGAGATTAATCCCCAGCACCACGGGGGGAAAATAAGCAAAGAACAAGGAGAAAAATGAGCCAGTAAGAAGCGCATGCAAAGGCACAGACACCTGTGGAAGCTTGGTTCCTTCTGGGAACAAGTGGTAGGTAGTTGGCAAGGAGGAGCATTAGCAAATTTAAGCAGGAAAGTAATATGATAAGATTTAGTACAGTGATCATCCTAGCTGCAGAGTGGAAGATGGACTGAAAAGGTAAGTCTGAAGCTAGGACACCAGCTTAGCTTAATAAACTAAAGGAGGCTGTAGTTGAAGAGCTGAAGTGAAGTACTGGGAAACTGAGGCTGGTGAGGAAGCGAAATGGAGGGATGGGATTGGGTAGTAGATGAGGAAAGAATGGAGATAAGGATCTGGAGGTCTCAACTGACCTAAACAACAGGCTTCCAGGAAGCAAGGGATATAAAGAATTAGAGGGCTGAGACATTGTAATCAGAGACCAGGCCTGAAAGTTCATCACAGCTGAAAGCTGTGGAAAGCGTGGAAGCAAGTTAGTACAGGTTGTTACGGGGGTAAGTGGAGCGGGAAACGTGGAGGTACTTGAATGGGGTTGAATCGGACAAGGAACCAAGGTGCTGGCTGGGCTGCCTGCATGAGCTCTGAAGCCATCTGGGTCTGCAGAAGACCTCAGGGGACTCGAGTGCCAAAATCTTCAAGGAGTGTGGTCAAGTCACCAGGACATTAGTAAATGCCAGCAAAAATAAGAAGAATTAGGGGATGTAGCTCAGTGGTAGAGTGCTTGACTAGTATTCATGAGATCATTGGTCTGATCCCCAGTAGTGGGAAAGGGGGAAAACTAACACTGAGTGAAACTTTCTGTGCTACTTCAATTCCTACTTAAAAGTCAGTTCCTGAGGACCCGAATTCGATCCCATGTACCAAAAGGAAAAAAAATAAGTCAAAGCATTGCACATTTTATCCTAAATAATACAATATTATTACTATGTACCCACAACAGAAGCATTGTACATATATGGCTATTTAATTTTTCATTTCCTTTTTCTGAGGCGGATTAGTGAGTTTGAACTCAGGGTCTCCTGCATGCTAGGCAAGCACTCCATCACTGAGCCACATCCCTATCCCTTTTTTAATATTTTATTTTTGGATAAGAGCTTGCTAAATTTCCCAGTCTGGCCTCAAAACTTGTGGTCCTCCTACCTCAGCCTCCTGAATAAATGGAATTATAGGTACACATCACCATATCCATCTGTAGCTTTATTCACTCATTCATTCTGCAATACTATGGATACTATATGAACCTAGAGCCTTTACACTGAGTTACATACTCCATCCTTTTTATTTTTTTGTTTTAAGATAGAGTCTCATGGGCCAGGGATTTAGCTCAGTGGTTCTGGCGACTGCCTCACAAGCACAAGGACCTGAGTTTGATCCCTGGTAAAAAAAAAAAAAAAGATAGAGTCTCACTAAGTTGCTAAATTCCTTAGACTGGGTTCAAACTTGCAGTCCTTATGTCTCAGCCTCCCAAAGTGCTGGGATTACAGTTGTGTATCGCCACAACCAATTTCTGTGGTCACTTCATCTGAATTTAAAAATTTAACTTCTCAGGTGCACTAGCCACATTTCAAATGCTCAACAACCACATAAGTTTATGGCTGCTAAGATAGCACTGAACTGGGACCTTTGATCATCACAGAAAATTCTACTAGAGAGTGCCGATAACCTTCATTTTACAGATAAGAAGCACTCCCAAGGAAAGCTTAGGCAACTCGCCCAGGGCCAAAGTCAGGGAGCTGGGAACTGGAAAGAACCCAATTAGTTTTGGCGTCAGCACTGTTGCCCTTAAGCCATGTTAACATTTCAAGTAAGATGAGCTACCTGCACCATAAGAGGAAATTTTTATGACTACTGGGGCAAGCACTGATGGTACTTATTCAGCAGCCAAGATCTTCCTCCTTGCTAGTAAAATCTGGATTTTATACAGGTGTTGTCATGTATTTAAAGGGTGAATTTAATCAGTTGGGCTAATCAGAGTATTTCTATTTCCCTGACCAATGACCCAGTTCTACTCAATACGATTTAGGAGACTCCTGGAAAAGGTTTTATTCTTCTTCAGTGATGTGTGAGGAACAAAACAGCTGCAACCAACTCCACCAACACTGAGGACTGGGAGATAGAAAATCCTTGATGAATCCGCTAACTTTGGACCTGCTTTAGGCTCTCCCTTGTTCAGTCTTCTCTGATTGGGTCTTCTGTTACTTGCTGCTAAATGCATGCCTGACTGAGACCATAAGAAATACAGAGCCCAGAGCGGGCTGCCTATCCATGCATCCATCACCACTTGTCTTGTGCAACTTCCACTTGGGAGAATAGATGAGATCTCAGTAAAGGAAGAGTGCCCTCAGAGAAGAGCCAAGACTCAGATAAGGAAAGAGGGGCAGGAATGATCTGAGCTAAGGGTGACCTGGGGCTTTGTGCAAAGAGTGAGGTGGGGAGAAAAAGGGTGATTAGGAAGAGTAAGCACCAGGCTTAATGGAGAAGGGTGGACGCCCTAAGACCTGCCAAGGATGACAGGATATGAGCAATGGTGGGGTCAGCTGATTTCCAGGCTCTAAATGGAGCCCTAGGGCTTTTCCTAGGCTTACTGTGGCAAACAAAACTTCACCTCACAGGACAAGAAGCAGCCTTGGTGGGTGGGAGAAGTCAAACATCTTTGGATGGAGCCAGCTGTGGTCAGAACTGAGCCTCTACAAGGAAATTCCAGAACTCTAATTACTGTCTTGCCTTACTCTCTTCCTCTGTGCAGCCAAGGTTCTTGGAAAATTTATTCATATTCACTATCTTCCCTTCCTCACCTCCTTATTACAGTACCGGCAAGTTGCTGCCCCCACAAGACCAATGAAACTGCTGGTCCATGTAACATATGCCTCCCTCGGTGTCAAGAATGGTAGCATATTCCTGCTCTTGTCATGCTGGGAATCAAATCCTGGGCTTTGCATATTTCACGAAAGTGTTCTGCCACTGAGCTACAGCCCCAGCCACATTAGTCATTCTTGAAAGCACTCCTCTGGCTGGTTTTCAGGTTCTCTTTCTGGGTCTTCCTCTTATCTCTCTGTGTGCTCTACTTTTCCTGTGTGATCTCATTCACACCTGAGGCTCTATGGCCTGAGCAAGTCAACAAGTAGTGGTTAACCATGGTCTCTGGGGCCCAGACACTTGGGTTCAAATTTCTGTCTTACCATTTACTTTAGGACACTCAAACTTCTAGCAAGATGTAGGTCATGGGCTTGAAGTATAGCTCAGTGGTAGAGCCCTTGCTTAGCATGAGCAAGGTCCTAGTTTCCCTTCCCAGCACCACACACACACAAAATGTAGATTACTGGTCTCACCCCATCCTAGGCAGTGGATGAGGGGAACTACCATTCTGATTTTTTTAGAATTCATATCAATGGAGTAATACAGAATGTATTTTTAAATTTTTTATTAGTATATATTTGCAGCACATAAAGATTACATTCACTGCAAAGAGCTGGTACATATAACTGTACACACACATCCTAATTATTTTTATGTCTTCTTCCCCTCCCCTCCTTCCATGTCTTGGTCCCCTTCCTATTTGCAAAAGATCTGTCTCCCTGTTACCTATTAGCTGTCTTTTATTTTTGCTCTTTATACTTTTGGTTTCTCATATAAGACAAACCACGTGAAATTTAAGCTTATGTGTTTGACTTATGTCACTTAATATTATGTTCTCAAGGTGCATCCATTTTCCTACAAATGACTCAAATATATCCTTCTTTATAGTGGAGTGGTACTCCTTTGTGTATAAATACCATATTTTTTTTATCCACTCATGTGTTGATGGACTATAGGCCACTTCCCAGATTTAGCTATTATGAATTGTGCTGCTATAAGCATAGATATAGAAGGTGAATAGCTGAGTCAAATGGAATTTCTATTTTTAGTTTTTTGAGGAATCTCCATGCTGATTTTTAAAGAGGTTGTACCAGTTTACATTGCCACCAACAGTGAAGGAGTGTTCCTTTTTTCCCATAGTCTCACCAGCATTTGTTATTATTTGATTTCTTGTGATGCCATTCATTCTGGAGTAAGATGGAATCTCAGAGCTGTTTTAATTTGCATTTTTCTAATGGCCAGCAATGTTGAACATTTTTCATGTATTTATTAGCCAGTTACACATGTGAGAACTACTCATGCAGTTGCCCAATTTTTGCTCAAGTCTTTTATTTAGAAGAGGTGTCTTAGTTACTTTTCTCATTGCTGAGACAAAATACCTGACACCCAAACTTAAAGGAGGAAAGACTTATTTGGCTCACAGTTTATAAAGCTTACAGTCCATAATTGGCTGGCTCCAAGGCAAGGTGGCGTGGCAGACAGGTATCACAGAGGAGAATAGTCCATGGCAGGCAGAAGGTAGCAAAACAAGCAAGAGACGACCACAGTTCTTTGTATGCATTAGATCTTACCCAGGCTACTTAGGGCAGGTAGCACTCACACTCTCAACCCTACTGCCCTTGAGCTTAGCATTGCACTATAAATCACTCCCAGCATCATACACTCTAGATCCAGTCACCTCTGTAAAAGCCCCACCTATGACTGCACAAGGCTTTGTGGGGACACCTAGACACAAGCCATATCAAGGGAGGTAACTTTTCTTGAGTTCTTTATGTATTCTAGATATTGGTCCTCTGTCTGAAGTGTATCTAGCAATTTTTTTTTCCTATTCCATAGGTTGTCTCTTTACCCTGTTGATTGTTTCATTTGCTGTGCACAAGGTTTTTAATTTGCTATAATCCTGTTTGTTGATTCCTCATGTTATTTCTTATGCCATTGGGCTTCTGTTGGCAAAATCCCTAACTCCACCTATGACATCAAGAGTTTAACCTATATTTAATCTTCCAGAAGATTAAGTGTTTTATAGGATGTATTTTTATGCCTGGATGCTTTAAGTCAACCTGAGATTTGTCTGTTATATTGCATGTGTTTGTTTTTTGGGGGGTACCAGGGATCGAACTCAGGTCCTTGTGCTTGCGAGGCAGGCAGCAGTGGAAGCACTGAGATGAATCCCTGGCCTTTATTTGTTTATTTTTATTGCTGAATGGTATCCCATTGTAGAGATATACCAGTTTGTTTATCCTTTTTAAAATAAATGATGGACACCTAAATGATAGTCAGTTTGGAGCTATTAGGAATAAAGCTGCTATGAACATCCTATGTTCAAGTCTGTGTGTAAATGCATGTTTTCATTTCTCTTGGGTAAACAACTAGGCATATAACTTCTGGGTCACAGATTAGGTGCATGCTGAATTACATAAGAAACTGCTGTGTGTTTTTCCAAATTGCTATGCACTTTATATTCCTACCAAGGATATATGATAGCTGCAGTTGCTCTACAGTCCCACTGTTTGGTACTGCCAACTTTTAAAAATTTAACTATTTTGGTGGGTATAGAGAGGTATCATATTTTGATTTTTAGTTTGCATTTGCTTTTTCAGACAGGATATTGGTATGTTGCCTAGACTGACCCCAAACTCCTGGGTTAAAATGATCTTCCTATTTCAGCCTTCTCAACTCCAGCATGTCTGGGACTACAGGCTCACCATCCTACCTGAGAAATATGTATTTTCTTGAAAACTAAACATGCTGAGAACTTTTCATATGTTTTTTGGCCATTCACTGAGTTGTCTTTTTATTACTGTGTTATAGGAATTTCTAATATATCCTGCATACATTTTTCCTTTGTCAAATCAATAAGTAAGCCTACTTGGCTTATTCATTTTCTTCAAGTTTCTTCTCCTTCTTCTTCTTCCTCTTCTTCTTCTTCTTCTTCTTCTCC